ACTCATGTACTAATCAGGATCTAGTCAGTTGATTTTAGCTTGGAGTCAAAACTCTTCACAATGTGTTTGCCTCAGATTTATTCATTTTTTAAAAGTTACCTTTCAAATCCCTCAGTTGATCTACTCAATGTTCCTAAATTGTTAAAGTTAGTATAGCCAAAACTTTAGATTATACTCTCAAAAGGGCCAGGCCAAAGTCACAGCACAAATGTGTCGAATTTTTTACCAAAGAAATGATGCAATTTTGGAGTAGTAATTAACCTTGGATAACATTTCGACCCACTCCTTTTACACAGATTAGGAAACTGAGTTCTTCTAAGAAGTCACGTGACTTGTGAAGGCCAGTGTTTCCTTGCCAGAACTGGACTTGATTCTCTGTGTTTTGTCTTATTGTTTTGTTAATCTACACTATATTTCTCCCCTACAATATAGTAACAGAAAAAGCAGTAAGGAAGAATCACAAATGCATTTTTTCATTAATGCAAAATAAGGGTTTTTCCAATTTCATCGTTATAAATAAACAGTACTTTCTTATTTGTACTCATCGACTTTTAACACAAACTAGATGCAATTTAGTTTGCTTATAATACTACTGAACAAAACTATTGCTTCTATTACAAATTGCTTGTTTTAGCAAATTTATACTGCTTCCTATAGAATTAGCAGGAACTATTTGGGTGAAATTTATGAACAAGATATGTGTGAATAGATTTCATGCTATACAAATGGTCATAATGGGTAGAAATAATTATTTTTTATGGCATTCCTTTGAACCTGAGGGAGAGTAGGAGTGAATTTAAGGTTACACACAGAAAGTGACAGTCGGTTGGGAGCCAACATGGTGAACTCTATTAGGAAAGAACCTGTGTCCTTCCCTGTTCTTTTCCAAACTTCAGTTCCAAAGAGCATTCTCTGCTGCCCTCTAGAGCTTCTAAAAACCATTAGTGACAGCAGCAAAAAAAACAAACAAACAAACAAAAAAACAACCAGAAACCTACAGGTAAGCAAACAAGAAATTATTTTCTCCCCTCAATGACAGAGAAAACAGAACATGTCATTTGGCAAATCAAATATAGATTTAAACCAAATGAAGTAATGAATTAATGAATTAGTTCTGAAATATATGTATTTAAATTGGTATTTAATTAAAAACATGTACATATCTCTTCAATTCAAACTGATAAACTGCAATCTTTTCCTAACATTTGGTTCTAATTTTTTGGCAGTTTTCATTGGGTTTGTTTCAAGGTTCAGCAAAGTTAAAATGTGTTCAATGGTTTTTCTTGTTGAGTCTCTTGTTTTTTCATGCCATGTGCTGTCCATGATTTAGTTTTACCAGTATCTGTTATCCATAATTCACAAATTTGCATTTCTTAGATTATCTTTCTGGTTCTTCTAAAAAGGCAAGCCAAAGTTACAACTCCTCTGATCACTTCATATTTCAATTAGATCTGCCAACAACTTTAGTGAGTTGTTATTATAATCCCTGTTTTTACAATGAAAGAAGTAAATAACAAAAAACTTAGATGGCTTTACCAAAATCAGAGAGCTAGTCACATGTCATTTGGAAATTCAAACTAGGTTGGCCCAACCTGAAAAAGAAAATTTTATTCTTTCTACCACATTGATGCAACCTAGAAAGAAAGAATAGTCATTTCTCTTTTAAATGCATTCACAAGAACTTCAAACTTATGTCTAATATTATTCTTACTGCCTTTCTCCTAAGGTCAGTTAACCTTCTACATCCTCCACCCTGTTCAATGGAACCACCATCTATACACTAACCAAGCCAGAAGACTTCTCCTAGGCTCTGACCTTCTCCTCACCACCCTCCTTAGCCCTAAGTAATTATTTACCTTTAATAGTGAACTGTGATCACTCTTCAATTGGCCTCCGGCCTTGCCATCACCTTAAAACAGGCCCGTGCACAAAGCACAATAGCCCTCTAACTCCGCCCTCATGCCCAAGCTCCTTCCCTCTAAATCAGCCCCTACACCAATGACACCATGATTTTCTCCAAGCACAAATTTAATAGAGGCATTTTAACCCTTTTTTGCCTCTTCTTTTCTCCAATCTCATTTATTATTCCTCATTCCCTTCAAATCTGGTTTCTAGCCCCATGACTCTAACAGACTACTCCCTCCATTCCTTCACTCAACAAATACTTATCAAGTGTCTATTTTGTGGAAGGTTCGAGGGATATCTAGAGAAAGAGGAACCGTTTTACTCTTAATAAACTTAAAGCCTAATAAGGAAATACATATATATGTTTATATATTTATAGCAGATAACATGCTAACTGTTTTAAGTATTGCAGGACAATAGGGGAAGTGAAACTTGCTAAAGAGACTCAGGGAAGCCTCCAATAAGAGGATAATGAGCTGAGTCTTAAAGAGAAATAAGTTTGCAGCAGAGCATGGGTAGGGAGCATTCCTGACAGAGCACGGTATAAGATTACAAAGGTAGCAACTAGCCAAGGAAGCTGATAAAATTGACGATTTGTCTATGCTTTGCTAGCGTGTATAGACAATGAATTGCATGTAAGTGATTTTAGGCCAGAAAGCAATTTGGATTTGTGGAAGAGCACTGTGGCAGGAATCTTGAGAGTTTAGAATAAAGGGGGAAGGCTCTACTTTTAAGTAGACCTACCATTTGATCCAAAAATCCCACTACTTGGTATTTACCCAAAGGAAAAAAGGATCTTTTATAAAAAATACACCTGCACCCAAATGTTTATAGCAGCACAATTCACAATTGCGAAGATGTGGAAACAGCCCAAGTGTCCATCAATACATGGGTGGATTAATAAAATGTGGTATAGGTATACTATGGAGTATTACTCAGCCATAAAAAAATGGTGAACTAATACCTCTTGTATTAAACTGGATGGAATTGGAGACCATTCTTCTAAGTGAAGTATCACAAGAATGGAAAAACAAACACCACATGTAGTCACCATTAAATTGGATCTAATTGAGGAACACTTATTTGCATATATGAAAATAAAACTCATCGGAAATCAAGCAGGGGGGAGGAGGAGAAAGGGATGAGTAAATTCACACCTAATGGGTACAATGCACACTATCTGGGTGATTGGCACACTTATAACTTTGTCTCAAAATGTACAAAAGCAATTTATGTAACCAAAACATTTGTACCCCTGTAATAGTCTGAAATAAAATAAAAAGATAGGAAGTAGACAGATTTATAAGAAAGATCTTGTAATGGTTCAGGTTAGAGATGATGAGTGCCTGAACTGGGAGAGTTTAGGCAGAATAAAGTAGACTTTTAAGAACATTCAAGATGTAAAAATGGGAATGCAATGTCTTCGAAGGCAGAGATGTTTTGTTCGTTGATATATCCCAAATACCCAGTGTCTGCCACAAGTAGATGCTCAAGAAATACATGTAGGATTCTGGGAAGATGGCAGTGTCACTATAGTTTTTGAGTCTCTCAGAATTTCCCCTAAAAACAAGCAGAAAAACTATTCCCACTTCTCCCCCTTCTCTCTAGTTACTCATTCTCTGAGTTTTATTTCTGTATCTTCAATGTTTCATCGTCACAAATATTACATATTTTCATTATGTGTACACATGTGTCACCCCTAAAAGATTGAGGGCTCTTTAAGTAAGGGGATGACATTTCACATTTAACTGTGCTTTCTCCCTTCCAGGTCCAGCCTTTTTTTCCCATTACTTTGTTGGTACTAAAGAAAAACAGCATTTAGTATGTGTAAGAGGAACCATTAAAAATTTCTAACGGTAGCAAATCAAAATTAATTTATGAAAAGGCATTAATAAAATAGCAAATAATAATGTTAATATTTTTATTGAAATAAAAACTGTGTAGAGACAAGTGGAAAAAATAATTTATTGCCGATTCTTTTACACATTAACATGGAACATTTATACATATATTGATATGCTGATAGGAAATACTAAATTTAAAGACAAACATTTTTACACAAAAGTAGTTGCACTCTATTTTATAAAGATATATATTAATAAATTATCAGATACATTTAAGAACCAGAGGCCAATTATTCCAATGGTAATGCACTATATGTTGAAATTAAACTAATTTTTCTGAACATGATGTTGGATATAATCACATTCTTCAAAGCTAAGAAAAGGAAGCTCATTTCTGGAAATAAAAGGCCAAGAATGTTCTAACAGAAGTATCCCAGCAGTATGTTTCCAGCTTTATTCTTGGATATGGTTAGAGCCCCTAACATTTAGCCCGAGCTAATGGAATAGCTCAGTGTGAAACAGCGCAGCTTTCTGTAACAGCTGCATGTGGTTAATGAGATTTAATACAAGGGATACAACACAAATGATGGCATTTTTAGAAGAAGTATAATTGCCATATGATTTGAATGAGCAACCAAATACTTTAACAACAGAAATGAGTATTCTATATCCCCAAAGGGAATAGCATACTTCAAAATAGTCACTATTTTCATAGCGTGGCATATTAATTCTTATTTTGGGAGTCTGAAAATAAATTTCATTTTTTTCCTAAAACTTAGAATTCACTCCTTTAGAAAATGATTTCTACAATGATATATACCCACATGATATAAACTTTGTTACATATTATAGTCATTAAAATATACATATACATATATATGGAGTACTAAACAGATTTGGTAAACCATGACATATATACACATGGCCAAATACTGTTCAGTTTCATTGAATTAAATTCAACAAATAGTTATTGGGTGCCTACTACTTGCAGATGACCACATCAGGCAATGCTCATAGTAGATTTTAAGACACAAGAAGCTCACATCATTCACATCAAAAGCCAAACTTTATATAATATACTAAAACCTTAAAAATAATCGAAAGCAGAGCTAAAGTTTAATAATGGATAGTGAGAGATATACCTAGGAAAAAGGCTTGGGATAATCGACAAGGACAAAGTAAAATCTGTATCCAGAGGGAAAAACTGCTCCTGGGCTTGGCTTGTGTTAGGAGATTACCGTTGTCTCCATTGCACAATCCCAGAGTCAGTTATCAGGCAGCTTTGTTTCCTTAACAAAGTGGAAGAAATAAGGGATTGATTTGCAGTGACAATAAAGCTTGTAATATCCCCTAAATGTATTTTTCTCTCTATAAGAGTGTAATCTTCGTTCACATCTGCAGTTTCTATAAATTATTCCCACCATAATTCTGGGAAAAACTGAGCCACCTAACTAGGACAACCAACACTCGAGGTATAGTTTGGTTTATCAGAAGAACATCAGTAAACATGCCAACCCCATAGGTAAATTATTTAAAATAAAACCAACTAAAAGAAGATAAATATTTTAAAACTTGACATTCCATTCCCTTTAGGACTTGTTATACTCTAAAAGCATTTTTAGGGAATGTATGCGTACATGAAATGAAATATAATCATGTAGTCTCACCACCCTGAAGAACCAATCCATCTACAGGGGAACAAAGTGTCAAACTTGCTTCTGGTACAACACATTATGAGTAGGAAAAGACTAGGCATGACCTTAGTGTGTACAATGTTACTGTCAGTGGTATGATTCCAGTTTGGATGTGATGTTCTAAGTCCATTCTAGCACATGGTTCTGGCTGGAATGCAACCAAAGTACCAGCAAGAACCTAAAACTTCCCTAAGGAATTAATTAGATTCTGACAAATTACGAATCCCTCATCTCTCTAGGAGAAACACACAAGGGACCAGGTCATAGGATTTCCCAAAATCCCCAAACACTCCACAGGGAGATATCCTGTCCCTTAGAAGGATCTTAAACTTCATGGTTGAGAAATTTCCCATGAGCCGCAGCCCTCTTGGCCATGATGGTGATCTCAGAACTAGCTTAGGGGCCAAGGATAGGGGCCAAGGGAGTCCCCTCACAGCCCACATAACCTCAGTCGTGTCTGAGACAGATTACAGGGGAAGAACAAAAGAACAGGCCTTTCAATCTAGTGCTTTGGTTTTAATTTTGCTAGAGGACAAAAGCCGGTAACCATAAAGTATCCCCTAAAAAGTGTTTATTGTTTGAACCAGCTCATTAATGTTTCAGTTATTTCCGCTGCTTTACTGAAACATTAATTTCTGTAAGCAAGAATTCTTTTCAAATGAAACACATTTTCAGTGATTACGATTTAGCATCCCATATTTATACTCTGTTTTAAAAATGAGAATTACACTCTGATTAGTCATACCTCTGTTCCTGTATTTTTTCTGGACAGAAACCAAACTTGCATTGGTTCTTTTTTGCCCTTCATAGATACTGGGCCTCTGTGCTCCAAATGGAATTGTGGATCTGAATTTTCTGAAGACATAAGACATCTAAAAGACAGGTGGGAGTAGGAAGAGAAGTATGCAAAGGCTGTTTGGAGAAGGTGAAATGTATCCAAGTTATAAATTGAGATAGATAGCAAGAACACATGCTGAAGTTGTACTGAAAGGTAGCTCAAGGTTGTAGTAACAATGATTATATCAGGAATTCCAAGTATGGTGGGAAATAATTTAAAATGGAAATGACACAATCTTCTTAAATAAAAAATAAACAATCCTAAGCAAGGGAAGACAGTGGAGGTGATAACCGTTTAAAGATAACAAAATCACTCAGACAGTTAAACCATAAGCGAAGAGCCATTTTGTCTGAAAATCAGTAAATACCAAGACATTTTCTCTTACCTATATGTATATTCAGACACATTTATTTTTCCCTTTTCTCCTGTGGTTTCCGTTCTGCTTGTGAGGTTCACGGTATTTCCAAAAAGACAATATCGAGGCATCCGCTGTCCTATGACACCTGTAACTACCTCTCCAGTGTGTATCCCTATTGTTATCTGTAGAAATCAAAGCTTTGTTTCAATAACTTCAGTCATTAACACACAAATATTGCTTACTTTGTATTATAGAACAATGTAGAACCATCATCTAAAATCATAAGGATTCTGTGTAAGAACTCCAAGCATGCTACAACTTCAAAAACCTTCACAAAACCTCTGTCTCCTAAGAGAAACATTTGAAGTCTGAATATCTCAATGATGTAAATCTGGTAACTTACATGACACATAGAAAAGAGATTTTAAAAAATAAACCAGAAGGTACAGGAGGTTTTATTTCATCCTCATGACTTCCAGTACATGGGACAAATTAGATAATCGCAAACAAGTAGAAAAATTTCTCATATCTGTGAAAGAATGTAATACAACGGACTCAATAAAATAGTGCAGTCTTTGCCGTCAAGATGCTTTTCTTTGTACATACTAACAATTTCCTGGTCAAGAATAGATTCACTTGTCCACAATGGTCTACTACTGCTATTATAACATTTACTTTATTTACTAACCTGAACAGATTCACCATCAACTTGAACCTGGCCAGCAATTTCCATCATGTCCAAGGCCAGGTGGCAGATGGATCGTGCATGGTGGATGCATGGCTCTGGTAAACCACTCACTGTCATATACTTGTCACCAACAGTCTCCACCTAACATATTACATATATTTAGATGTTCTTTGGTTAGCATAAAAATGACTGTTTCATTTGCTACCCTAATAAAAAAAAAAATTTCCCAGGGCTATCAGCACCTTTAAAGTCCCTGAATTCCCCTCCCCCTTAATTCTCTTAAAATTTTAATATATTCAACTCCAACAAAATGAAACCTTGTAATAACATGCATAGTACTTGGGGTCTTTGATTATAAGCGGGTACAGACACTGAATTATTTTTCCTCCAGTAAGCAATTACTTTCCCACCTCAGATCCCCTTATAATTCAGTAGAATAATTTTTTACCTTATTTGTCCCTGAAACAGTGACTTGAAGTTCAGTGATTTATCATGGTCATTAACCATTTATTTTTATGATGTGCTTACCAAGTGCTACATTGTATCTCAGAAATCGACTATAAAATAAATAGTCCTTGTGGAATTACAGTACCCCAGATGCCCAGGGATGGTTTAGTTAACATTCTTGCCTTTATGAAGCAATATTCCACTGACTTCATTTTTCCAATATTTGTTTCTAATTGAAACAAAGGGCAGAAATGCGTAATAAACATTTATCTTCAAGTTGATGTTATCTAAAAGCAAACCTCAGTCCCCAGTACCCTTCTCATGCCCCTTGACTTCTTTACTGTGTAAAGCATTTATGTATTTCAGTAAAAATGTCTCTTGCAGAGCACTAAAACGAATGCTATGTTTATAGTAAATGTGATAAACACCCTGCACAGATTTGTTAGCCTAATTGCAAATAAGCTGCTAAACATTTCATTTTAAGCAGGCGATCACCCACTCCATGAAACATTCCTTTGGTTACAAGAAAGAGAAAGTTTTATAACAAGAGGCAATTATTTAAGAAAATGGTAAACACTGAATACACGGAGGTTTACTGTACCGGGGCTGCAGTGCTGGAGGCAGAACTGTGATAGCAGTGCCTCTGGAGGGGACATTCAGAAAACCAGACTCTGAAGAGCACTGCAGCAGCTATCATGAGGACTTGCCTTATAAACAAATGGATTTTTCCGAGAATCCGTCAGTGTGTCAAATCTGGTGTAGAGGTCGTTGAGAAGGTTGACAATCTTCATGGCCCCTTCTCCAGATGCGTGCTTGCTACAGAAAGCGTTGAAGCCCACAATGCCACTGAAGAGGATGGTCACATTGTCATATCTTTTGGCAGGCACAGGACGCTTATGTCGCAGCTCATTGGCAACGGACGGAGGCAGGACAGAATACAGCAATCTGTTTGGCAGGATTAGGAGAGCGCCACTGTAAGACCTGCTGGGAATGCCTTTAGCATTTCTGCTGTCCCTTTCATAGAGCACCAGTGTCATTTGCACAGTAAAAGCCTGGATTCTGATAGGACACCCTCTGATAGGACACTGGCATCAAATATTAGCCATATTTATTAATACAAGCAAAGAAAGAGACCTGGTGATAGAATATCAAAGTTTTCACTTATAGTCCTGTATTCTGACCCTGCTATTATGCTATTCACAGGATGAAGGCTGTCATTACCAGCACTTAAAATGTCATATGCATAGCCCAACACCAGGACCATGTTTACCTCTCAAAAAGAAGAAATTTATCTCAATTTTTGGAAAGTAATATTAGAAGCAGCAGGATCTTTCTCCAGTGTCATTCATGACTCACTCCTCCATAAAAGAAACTGATAAGACAAGTGAAAATTGGTTTAGATGAGAAAATATTTTATTTCTATACGTAAAACTGAGACTCCCACAGTGGCATCAGGGATCATGCTAAGAGGACAGATGTGGCAAGCGCACTGGAGGAGAAGGAGAACTGATGAATTTAGAGGTACAGAAGCAGAAACCAGGCCTATGGGAAGACTCAGAGGAACAAATGAGGCCTCTTGCCTTTTTCTTCCCTAAAGCGCAAGGGCACACTGTGGGAAGTTTCAGCGGGCAAAATGGAGCTGAGCTCTCAGTGTCGTTTCTAGCCATGGTGGAATTTCTCCAGTCTTTGATTTTTGACTTTTAAACAGAATGATTTATAAAATGTTAATGCTATATTTGAATATTAAGTGTGAACAGTAGAACTATTTAAAGAAAATTAGTAGTAAATAGTAAATGGTTTCTAATTAAATGACCTTGAAAACCAAATATCTATAAAAATCTAATTCTAAATCTAATAATCTAAAAAATAATATAAGAGTTCTTGAAGCACAATAACACTAAATAGTACAAACAGTTTCAGAGAGTCAAATCCAGCTTGGGGAATCAAAATAAAGGAATAGTTCTGTGGTAAGTGCTTATCAGCTACTCATCTTCAAGACAAGAGCATTGTTCTACTCCCAACAACTCCAATTTTGGACTCCTGGTCTAGGAAGAGAACACTCTGCTTAAGCTGACAATTTAGGGAAAAAAGTGAATTAAGAACTTTTTCAGTACAGAATATATGAATATTTTCAAAATTTAAAGTGTGCATTCTTTATAGTATTGGTTAGTTATCTGTTTATCATGAATGTAGATACTAGCTAATTGAGTCACAACACAAAAAATGCAACCTAGGTGGTTTTCTAATATATTAACAGCCAGAGCAGGATATTCAGTAACTCAAACCTACAAACTCATTTGACCTTGAACCTTAGTCCCAACATCTTACAAGCTCCATAAAATGTATAATTTTTCATGAATGAAGTTGTACTGTGTATCAATAACTACACACTCTCAGTTATTTCTCAAGCAATGGAAGAATTTGAGCTACCGGCCCCCATGTAATTTCTGAAATTTGCAAATTGACTGGATAGATTAAACTGGGTGCAGTTTAGGACCGTGAGGAAACTAAAGTGGTGTCGAAGGAAATAAACACAACTTTTAGCTTCATTATACAAAGGCCAAGACATGTGAATTAAAAAGCTATAGATAAAGACAGGTATTTAAATGGCATTCTCTATTTCAGTCATGCTATTAATCAAGTTAATGGGCGTGTTTACTTGTGTGCACAGCATCCATCCATGGGCAGCTACACGTGTATCAATGCAAGAGAAGTATAGAAAGTGATGCTGTCACCAATCTGGGTGTTCAAGTCAGGGAAATACTAACAGTTCTTATGCGAAGTAAAGCAGATCAGTTCAATTCTCTAAAAACATAGCTTCCTATTATATAAACATTAAAAAATGGTGTCACACAAGAACCTGGGTAAAATCTCTTATGAATGTCAGTGATTTAGTGCTTTTAATTAGTATATGGAAGCAAGGCCAAGTAGTATGCATGATATGTATTTATTTGTTAATAAATTCAGTATTTGAAAACGAAGTATTATCATTAAAGTTATTTGCCTAATATTTCACAATTTAATCTACCATTCATGGAAAAATAATCATTTTATATTTTGATATCTTTGCTACTGTATGTCATTACAGATGTAATTATCATTATTACAGATGACATCAGATTCATATCTTCCAAGCCCTAAAATAATTTAGGGTCCAATAAAAGACTTTTAAAAATATATGACAGTCAATTCTAAGTTCATTGTTCAGAGTAACCCTTTGCACCTGGCCAGCCCCTGCCATATTGAAGGTGGTTAAGACATAACTCTTGT